GGGGCTGGGTGGTGGTCTTCGGCGCTTTCGTGTCGATCGGCTTCGCGTAAGCCTTCCCCAAAGGCGTAGCCATCTTCTTTAAAGAAATCCAGGATTTCTTTGGCACGTCCTATAGCGAGATCGCGTGGGTCTCCTCCATCATGCTGGCCACGACCTACGGTGCAGGTGAGTAAACCAGCACCAGCCCCTGCAGCGTGGCGTGTTGTAAAAGCAGAAATGAGCCAGCAATCTCCGCTCCGGGCCAGCGTGCAGGGAACGCAGCAGCGTCCGTCGGCACGGGTACTGTCAGCAGGTTTATTTTCTGATCGTGTTTCCAATGTCGTTGAGGGAAACAAGTCATATGTGGAGCCCAAAGGGGCTAAGGGGCAGTTTTTCGGATTGGTGTTGGCTGGGATTAACAAACAGGCCTTGTGCCTTCTGAATTTGCCACTGGGTTCAGTAGGTGTGGGTGTCTTCTGACCCTTCCAGGTGCCTTTTGGTCCTGGGTGGGGGGCTCAAAATGCCTTTTACAATGTTGTCTGTGACCAGTCTGGTGCTGACACCCCCTTTATTTCCACCTGGGTTTGCAGCACCTTTGCTGCTTTACGAAACAGGGCTCATTTCACTAACATGGATGTGGGGTTACGTGGAAGTCTTTGTAAAGGGCTGCAGTGTCCCCTGCGCACCGGAGGCTGAGCTGCACGGTGTCTGTCCCGGTGCTGCATCCCCATCCCCTTCCCCAGCCACGCTGCGGGCTGTGGGCTGTGCTGGGGGATTTCTCCAGCACCACAGACCCGCCGTGGCCTTGGCCCTGTCGCACAGCACCTCCGTTCCCCCAAAGACAGGCAGCACCAGCCCTGCTGCTTGCATCCGAGTGGCGAGGGGATGGGCGAGCTCTTTGGAAGAGGCGCTGGCATCGTCCTGCCCTGCTTTGACCGGGGTCGGTAACTTTGCACCCTAGAGGCTGTGAAGTACCAGCACGGCCCGGACCTGGTGTGTTGTGGAGGGTAGCAGCAGTGGTCCCCTACCCAGAAATCGACATATTACCTACTGAAGAGAGTCCAGAGGAGGGCTACGAGAATGATGAGGGGACTGGAGCATCTCTCCTACGAGGAGAGGCTGAGGGAGCTGGGCTTGTTCAGCCTGAAGAGAGAAGGCTGAGAGGGGACCTAATATATGCTTATAAGTATCTGAAGTGTGCATGTCAAGAGGATGGGGCCAGACTCTTTTCAGTGGTGCCCAGCGACAGGACAAGGGGCAATGGGCACAAACTGAAGCAGAGGAAGTTCCAGCTGAACAGGAGGAAGAACTTCTTCACTCTGAGGGTGATGGAGCCCTGGAACAGGCTGCCCAGGGAGGTTGTGGAGTCTCCTTCCCTGGAGATATTCAAGAACCCCCTGGACAAGGTCCTCTGCAGCCTGCTGTAGGTGACCCTGCTTAGTTAGGGGGGTTGGACTAGATGACCCACAGAGGTCCCTTCCAACCCTGACCATTCTGTGATTCTGTGATTCTATGAAAGCTTCCCGTGGGCATCAGTGAAAAAGCCTCGCGAACAGGCTGGTGTGAAAGAGCTGGGTCTGGGTTTCAGCCAAAGGTAACCGCGCAGTAGAGCAATACATGAAGCAGCTGCTTGTTTATTGTGGCAGCTTGTAATTACAGCAATGAAATTGCCAGAGTCAATCATTCTTATCAGTTGCGAAGCAGTGCATATAACTTTGCTCTTTTTTTATGATTTTGATATCCCTTTCAAGAAAAACTTGGCTGCCTTTGATTAAATCTGCAATGGGAGGTAGACAGGAACCACGCTCTGTAATTGCAGGAAACTTCATCAATATTTATCCTGGCTATTAAAGCAATTATGAAAATATTCTTTGTTTTTAAAAAGGGATTTTTTTTTTTCCTTAATCATGCACTGTAGTGCTTTTTGGAGAGCGCAGTTGGTAATGAAAGCAAAGATGCTTTGTAAAGGTTTGTAAAGTGGAAGCGGTGCTTGAATCAGAGCCTATTGTAACTGACTCTATTGTAACCTGCTGCAAAGGCTTGGTCCCATGGAGAGTAGCTCTGCAAGGACTGAGTTCATATTTGAGAACCCACAAATGGAGCACTTTGAGTGCAAAACCCAAGCAGACATTTAGAAAGAGAAATCCTCCCCTTCAGCCAGTGCCATTGTCCCAGGCCACCCCCTTGGCCTCCCTCATGGGATGCTAAGCCCGAGCCCTGCGGAGCTCTGCAGCTTTGGGATGAATTTCCTCCGGGGCTTGTTATTAAATGCAGAGAAAAGCACCTTTCCCTCCACCCCAGCAATATAAATAAGCAGTCTGCAGTGAAAAGAAAACAGCCAGGCTCTGTACAGGCTGAGCGGGAGCAAAAGCGGGTGCAGTGGGGGAAGGAAATACTGCCGTAGGGAGGCAGGCAGAAGGACGACTTGTCATTTAGCTGCTACTTAAATGGTGTTTTAAAGGGCTGGGGTAAATTATGTGGCATGTCTCTGAAGCAGTCAGGTGAGAAAAAAAGGAAAAGCAGGCGGCCCATGCCTTTGGTGTGTTTGGTTGCCTACAGATGAGTGTCAAGGAAGCTGCCTGGTTTAGAAATCAAATAGAGATGGCTGATGTTTGGTACCAAAGGCAGGTGAACACCTGGATGTGGCTCTAAATTTTGTGGTCTGGTACTAAAATTAGGACATGACTTGTTGAGAAGGCTGTGGCCGTGGTTTTAGCAGAGGTATGTGAGCTAGATGTGTCCCATGGAGAGCAGGGACCACTGCTCTCCCTGATGGCTGTGGTCCCTAACACATTTCCCTCTGTCTTCCTGGTAGCTCAGGGCGTTGTGCAGTGTGAGCCTTCTTTCCTGGGGAAATGGTGCTTCTTCTGTTGCACTCGGTCTTGGGTAGATGTTAGCTGGGGCTCAAGGCATCGTGACGATGATCTCATTGTTTCAACCACCATCATCCACAGTGAAGCCATGGGAAACCCCGCTCAGCTGTGGGGTGGGAGGAGACCTTGGTGGAATGGCCCCCAGAATCATGTCTCTTCCGCAGACTGACGTGGGCTGAAGTGATATCCCGTCGCCTGCCCTGTAACGCTGCAATAAATGCACCAAACCAGTTACCTGGCAGCTGGGGGCTCCCTGGCTGCCTCTCTGGGTTGCTGCCAGCCCTGCTTTGTCTTCCACCAAAAGCGTGTCCCCCCACTATCTGGTATGGCAGAGATGCTTCGTGCCTGACCACGACTGAGTGAGGAACGTGCTCTGCAGATTAACCGTGGACCTGGCAGCACCCAAAGCTGCTCGCAGGGGTGTAGCTGGGGGGCTCGAGCCTTGCAGGGTGCGGGTCACGGCCGACGAGCTGGGGCTGGAGCAGGTGAAATGCTGCACTGATCGCCTCTGCCTTCTCCCATCTGCAGCCTTTCCAACCCGCTTTCTTCTCTTTCTCTTCAAGTGTTCAGGCCAGTGCTGTGTGCTCTGCACTTCGGATGTTGTAGTGGACTTTTACCCCAATTAATGAGCATCTCCTGCCTTTTCGCAAGGAGCTTTAAGTTTACCCTCCCTTATGCTATTATATTGTAATATGGGGGATGATACAGTGCACACTTAGACTTAATTGCAGGCGGCTGTACCTTTATACCTTCCCACTTGCCTTGTAGTTGCTCAGAGTTATGTCCATTTAATAGTCCTCCCCTCCTCTGCTCTGCAGTAAGATTTATGAGTGTTTGATCATCCCTCTCTCCGCAGCGGTCCAGGCTGAGACGCCGAGTCGCTCGGTGGCTGCAGACAGGGCCGCGATGGGAGTGTGCAGAATGTGGAACAAATGAAACACACGTGCCCAGGAGCGTATTTAACACATCCAGTTTGATTGACTGGGCATTTAATGCCGGAGTGGGTTTGACTCATGAATGACTTCAGTGATTCGGAAATTCTCATTAAAGGAACAGGGCACCGGGTCCTGTGAGCTGCCAAAGTCTTGCTCTGCTGCGGTGCCTGTTAGAGCCGTTAGGATGCCTGAGCGGCAAAGTTTGATTTACTTTGCTGAAAATTTGGAAGTAGTTTAAGACTGGATTTTTGCTAACCTTTTCTGAAAAAAAAAGAAATTCTAAAAATGCCAAAGTAAGCTTTCAACACATCCTGAGTAAGTGGTAGCATTACTAAACCAGATGATTATTTTCATGGCTTCTGTGTTCCTTCCCTTCCTTTCCCAAACCAGTGGTGAGGCAGAACAGTCAGAGCCTGCGGGGAGGTGCAGGGGTGGGTGGGCTAGCACCGTGCAGGAACCGTGCTGGGGGCACCGGGTGTCTCCTACACCAAGCGTCAGGCCCCGTGTGCTGGAGGGCTGGGGGGCCAAGTGGTGCATTCGCTGGTGTCAGGCGTGGGCATCACAGCCATGAAAGGAGAGCCCCAAACGTGCCTCGCCTCCGCCCCGTCCCCCTGCTCCAGCAGCAGTAAATGGCCGTGGTTTGGAAGGTGGCCGTGCAGATGGAGAGCTTTCCTCAAGAGTGCATGGGCTCCCCTGTTTGCTCAGCTGGCTTCAGGGAAAGGCTGTGGTGTTGCTGTCCCTCCCCGGTGCTCAGCCACGTCTCCGGGCTGTGCCGTGGCTCTCGGAGCTGGACTCAGGGCAGCGAGGCTGGCGTCCGAGCAAGGGGAACTGCTCTGCGAGGACTGACCCGGCCGGCTGGCCCGGCTCCCTCCGTCCCCCGGAGGTCAGCCGGGCTGCCCGCGCCTTGGCAGGGCATGGAGGGTCTGATGCTCTCGCTGATGACAGCTTGTGTTTGCAAACGTCCTCAGGAATCACTCCCTCGTTTCCTTGGCACGCTCGTCGGTGTGGGGACTTGTTTGTAGGCTGTGCTGCTTACTGTGTAACAGAGCTTATGTTTGCATTTCGTAAATAATGCAAATGAAGCATATTTTCTGAAAATACTTGCATGAACTAACCCAAATCTCCACTGGAGTAGCTCTGTTGATTTTGACAGCATGGATTCAGATTTACAGTGACCACCTGAGGCTTCGGCTTGTGGCACCAGAGCAGTTCCAGTTTTTCAGACTAAGACTGAAAATCAGCAGCCGAGACAGTTTCTGCCCTTCGCTGTTTGCTTAATTCCCCTAGGAAGCCATTTTACACCAGCCGAGGCTCTGGCAATATATATTGCAGAAGTTTTAATGTGTCTTATCCCCCAGTTTCTTAATCTGAACTAGGT